CCAATTTATGTTATGATCACTGCATATTTTAAAAGGTAATTTGGATAAAATACCTGATTTTCTTCCAGGTACGGTGTCTAAGAGACTATGGAGAATTTGAAGTTGATGATGGTACCTCTGTGATACTAAGAAAAAACAGCCAGGTATTTCTTGTCTTAAGATGCTATACTTTGAACTTCAACAAGGGTATTGAATGAAGAAAATGTTGCAATCAATAGTAAAATAATTACCCTGTGATGACAATTTATAGCATAGGCATTATGTTTAATATAATCATCCTGTTTTGTACTTTTCGTAAATGTTAAGACTTACAGATATTGAATATACAATGGACTACAAAAAGTTAGTGAGAAAATGCCATTCTGTAATTCCATTTATCTACCATGTGTTCTAAGCAATGTACTAGTAAAATTTTTATCTATTAATAAGAAACATAAAAATCTTACTAGTATATTACTTGGATTTTGTTTGTTGTTTTTTCTATAGCACTTATATCTGTAGTGACTTTAAACATTAAAGGGTCACATCATAAGAACTGATAGTTCTTAGATTGGGGCTAGATTTAAGTGGGAGCACAAAATCCATTCATATATCTATGGTTTATATATGTCTCTGGTTTACTTTAGAGACAACATTATCATTTTATGATAGTGAAAACTTTCAAATCATCTTCCTGAAGCATAAGGTAACTTGATAGTGTCATTTAGCTAATAATACAGAATTTAAAACACGGTTGAGAAAAGGATATACAAGTATAGGCTAGTTTCAGACATTAATTCATACATGAATTGTTGACTTGTATAGATTAAATTCTTAAGTTACTGGACACTTTATAAAAAAATCATTTTTGGGGGGGACTCATACAGCTCTTATTACTATCCATACGTCTATCCATTGTGTCAAGCACATTTGTACGTTTGTTGCCATATCATTTTTGAAACATTTTCTTTCTACTTGAGCCTTTGCTATCAGCTTCTCATTTTCCCCTTCCTTCCCCCATCCTCCCTCATGAACCCTTGATAATTTGTAAATTATTATTTTGTCATATCTTACACTGTCCAACGTCTCCCTTCACCCACTTTTCTGTTATCTGTCCCCC